AAGTCGTGTTTATTGTATCAGAAAAAAATTTGGAACAACTTCTTCATTCACAACAGTAACGATATGTTTTGCCATCATAAATCCGGAAACAAAAGTATACTGATACCAGTAATAAGTATCAGTAATAGCACTAATGCTGTAACAATCGTTAAACAGTAAATGAAAGCAGACTGGTAAGCAGATATGTTGAAAACAAAAGGAAAATGTTTTAACAAACAATTCCAGCTATTTCCAGAAAATTGATGAGCAAATACTATTCCAATATTTGCATTAAAAATCATGACCTTTTTTTTCCAACTGTCGCAGTCTTATTTCTTCTCAAACCACCATTTATGCTCCAAAAACTTTTATGGAGCACCACTAGAAAAAAAGAACAAAACCAAGAATAAAAAAACAGCCATTCCCTAACAATAAAAAAAAAACCCAACAGCACTGCTAAGTTGAGCAAAGCAAATTAAACAAACTTACAAAAGCAATGAAAAAAAAAAAAGAACTGGGCTACTGGCAAATGTCCAGTTTTTTGCATCTGATATCTCCAAAATTACCATCATCCATCACACCAACAAACACTAAGCGGCAACTAACAAGAAAGATCTATCAGTAAAATCGCCTTATAACTTTGATGCTCATTTAAACTGGTCAAAAAAAAAAAAAAAGCAACCTACCGATGATGATGATGATGCACTTTTAGCTTTTTGGCTATACTAACGGCAACATCAACAACAACAACGAAAAAAAAAAAAACAGAAAGAAGTCGGAGAAAAGTTTTTTTTTTTCGTCCCCTATTTTTATGCCACGTGTTCCACAACAATCCGTTTTAAACATTAAAAAAACTCTGGTTTCTGAAACACAAATATGTTTTCTTTACACACGCAAAAAAACACAAACCAACAAATACAAACACTGTCATACAAAACGAGAACAAAGTCAAGACGAGACGAAATACAGAAAAAAAAAGCAGTATTTCAAAATATTTATGAAAGTAAAAAATCTATTCTTCAAATATAATTTATTTCCTCTTTCTTTTTTTTTTTTTTTT